CTGCTGACTTCACTTGTGTATATTTGCTTTATGTTGCTTCAGTACCACTGATCTTCAGTGCAGCTACTTACACCCACCTGAAGGGCAAATCAGACTGAGTATATCCAACAGGCATATAATACGTATTGGTTAGTAGGCATCTCACGTATGACATAACATAATTGCTGGCCGGGTAGATACATAAAAAAGTAGAGATTAGATATTCAAGCGAAATACATTACATTCTGTACTTAGATGCAAGCTATAAATGCAAACCAAATTAGAAAAGCATCCTCATTTGGAAAGCACATTAACTCATCACTAGTTTGACATGCATACCTCATAGCTTTTAAGAACAGGTAGGTATACTTAAGTGCCATCCGGGACCAGAGTCATGCTTCTGTTCCAAATAGAGCGTTGCTCATAGCCTGGCCAGGAGGTTTATAACTCAGTGAGCCGGGACGTGACAGCTTTCCGGACAGTTATATTGACAACAGATCAAAGAGCTTATACCCATAAACTCTGATCCATTTTGAAAAGTTAAGCTCATGGCCAGCTGAAAGGCCTATCACAAAGCCTTACGACAGGTGAAAGTAGAGGAAGCACAGTTCTTCATAAGCAGGTGTTATCAACCCATGTTTTATATTAAGCATTTGGAGGCAATTGATAGCAGAAGGAAACCATAGGATATCAAAGCTCAGCGAGGCCCGATATTTGTAAAGCCACCGATAGCAGTAGTGGCTACCTGTCCCATTTTACTGCACTTAGATTTGTAAATATGCTAATTGATAAGTTTCCATTTCTAAAGATCACAACTATCCTTTGGTTTTACGAAGTATAGGTGTCTATTCAGCCCAAATCTTAAACTTAAAATATTATTCCACCCAGGAAGCATTTATTCAGATTCACATTCTGTGCTTCACATGACAGAACAAGATGAATCATTTGACTTCTGATCATCTCTCCAAGTTACATGCAATTATATGCACACTGAGATGTTTCTGCTACACCTTTCTGTGGGAAGAAAAACAAAGTCTAAATACAGACATTGTAAGTCACCCTCAAAAAATATTCGACAGAATAAACATTTCTGCTTTATTTTCTTTTTAAAAAAATTAAATACTTCTTTCCCTTCAACTTTGCTTTACCATTAACTCTGACTCATTGTGCACCATTTAATCGTGAAAACTTGATTGCCATTATAAATACTCTTGGTACCAGACAGCACTACATTTATGCGCTGAACTGTTGTCTTTGTTACCTTTATGCGTATTGGGAAAATACTTTCCTTTAAAATAGTAACTGAAGAAAAGACAATTTTTCAGGCTTTGCCTGATTTACCTTTGCTTTCTGTGGATATTCTTTGTGAGACTTTGAATTGAGTTACTTGCATTCTCATGAATCCTATAGCTTTGGAAATGTGGTTAAATGAGAATTAAGGTCACTTTAATTCTCCATACAAGCATCCACAAGGGCTTTTGATACCGTTCACATTTTGCTTTTTAAACTTAATTACTATTAATTTATCTGAGTGCAAACAATAGATAGTGCTAATCAAGTGCTGTGGTATGAGCTGTACTGAGAACTTCCAGAAGGAGCCGAATACTAGACAGGAGGTCTGATACCAAGACTATCACAAAAGTGGTTTCTTGATCCTACAAGAGATTTATTTACATTTGGAAATTATTTATTTGTACTTTACTGAAAAGCTCTTCAGAGTCAGACATTGCTGCTGTTCTTTGTACTGCATGAAAACATCAACTCCACCAAAGCAAATACAAGCTCTGCTATAGATCGCATGAGAGGCAGAACTGTACTTTTTGAGTATTATCTTATCCCTGAGTCATCACATTGATGTCAAAGTGCCTCCTTACAGAATTAGGGTGGGGAAGGTTGGCAGTTTCTGGCTCCAGGTTTGGGGGATGGGAAAGAAAAAATTTACTGTAAAAGCTGACAAATATACCTATTCAGAGTTTCCGGTGTAAGCAGAGTAACCAAAAAAAAAAAAAAAAGAAAAAAACCCACCAAGGTCTGCAGAACATATTTCAGTTCCCCCAAGCCGACCTCCAGAAATAAAAATAATGCTAGCACAGCTGCTTTTCCACTCTTCAAGTGTGTACCGGGTCTGAGCATTACAGACAAACCACAGCAAAATGATCTTTGGCTTCAGTGTACAAATCCTCATAAAGCAAAAGAAATATGATCATTTAAAAATAAAACAATTTTGAGAAATAGTGACAATTACAACATCCTTGTAAAAGAAGTAGTCTCCAACTCCTTATACCAGGGTTATCTTAATAACCTATGAAGCCTGCCTTGGACCAAGTTTCAATTGTATTTTTACGTCATGTGCTGCAAATGCAGCAAGACCTACATGCCCAAATTCCATTCAAACAAATAAAAGGAACAGCAGAACATGTACTCCAGTGCTCAAGTGCCCATTGTGTTCTAGTTCCTCTCATACAATTCAAGGACCACAGAACAGCCATATGCTGGATCTTGATTTGCAACTCCTCTCTGAAGTTGGAGCAGTGTGAAGCATCAGAATTCAAGAAAGAAGGAATCTAATCCAACCAGCAGGAAGTTTTGCAGTAGTTTCTACTTGTAAATATATCTTAGCTCATTGCAATGCTTTCGTCAGGCTGCCTTACAAATCCATGGTGTGTGCATATGCTCAGGCTCCTTTCAATGTTATCACTTACTGTATCTATTGAATGTCGGCAAAAGCCTAGCACAAACCTTGAAAGATTACTCAGAAGTCTTCAAAGTGGCTGGATAACACAACAGCTAATGGAAAGGTACCAAATGCAGCGGTCTGACTAGCTCTAAGTATCAACTGACAACAGAAGAATGCCCATAATGTTGTTTGATTCCAGGGTGCTTTGCAACTCAGCCTGAAAGTGTCCAGACTGAACAGACAAGCTTGAAGATTGCCAGTTTCAGTGGACTCTGGATGAAGATCTGACAAATCTGTTAGTAGTGCTGTTAAGGTCAACACACTCGTCTCTCTCCATTGGTTATCCCTCTACTAATTGGTTTGCACCTAGGAAAAAGTGTAATTTTTCCTGCAGAGTATGAGTCCAAGTTGTGCTGAACATAGCAGGCGTAGCCAAGGGGAATCTTGCTGTCTGCTTTCGGGGAGCAGCTCCAACCACAGCTCATGGGCTGACAAGAGCTTCAGGAACATGCCTCACAAGACCACTTGCCCAAGGTGAGCAAAACGCTGAGCAGACTAATGTGTTGTGTGGTAATCCTATAAACCCTGGCCTTCAGTTGTTTGTGCTTTGGAGAACCTAGCTGAGAGATGTTTGCAGCATCTAGTGCGATAGTCAACAGTGTCCCAGTTTTGCACAGTATTTGTCATCCCCAGATTTTTGTCAATACAGTATCTATATGCAGATACAGTCTTTTTAGAGATACCTGCTTGTTAATAAAAACCATGACATGCTGGTCTGAGTAAAAGATCAGACAAGACCAAGACATTGACAAACAATTAAACCAAGCAACTTCAAAATGCAACCTCCTCTACATTTTTATTTAACCATTGCTGAAATTGGAGGGAAGATAATGGCAAAACAGCTGTTGGAAGACTGCAAGTATTGGAGCATGACAAGTTTCAGATCACTAAACTTCATATTAGCACCACTGGCCTTCACACACACATGAACTACAGATCTTTCCAAACAAGTCAGAACGATTTCCCATCAGGCCAATTTTCAGTTTGAAATACACTGCTAATCTTTAAGAGTTTGCACGACTACCTGACTGCAACAGCAAATGACACACTTGTCCCTGCTTCAGAAGATTTACTGTTTCTTTGCTCACACACTGACATGTGATAAGCTTATCAATTGATCAGCGTTAACAGTGTAAATATTTTTCTCTTTTCTATGTTCACTTCCAGTATAATAAAAAATTGGAAAGAAATACAATAGCAAAGTTTTTCTTATTTGCAGTAACACCAAAAAGCAAACAGTAACTCTTGAACAACAAGAAAAATTTAGATTTAAATTAACAAACTAGTAAGTTTCTGGCTTGGGTTTTGAAGACCAAATTACATTAGGCAGCTGCTGACATTTTTATTGTACATAGTGAGCTTTGGCTAATAAATAGAAAAAAGTGGCCTAGCTTTGCATACGTTACTTGTATGCTTAGACTCTAATCTAAACCTTTTTACAATAAGACATCAATGCTCATTTAGCGAGGGAATAAATATTTCATCATGGTTGTCTGCATTTGACATTGACTTCATATACAGAACCCTTCAAAATTATTTTTTGAGAGCATTAAAGCTAGTAATATTATGTTGTGTCTGTTGCTGCTGTGAAAATAAATCATGTGATCAGAGCTGACATCAGAACCGAAACAGCTTCTTTTGTGATATTGGTAGTGTTCCACAGTACATCATGGATCGCTGTGAAAAGCACTTTGATAAAATGTAGCTCTTAACAGCTAGGCAGTCAATCCTTCAGATGAGAATTATTTAATCAGCTCCCCTTGTATTTACATCCAGCCCACCTAACCATTCATAGTGGCGGATCAGTAAGGAAAGACAAGGAAATCTAAGTCCAGTTCTTAGCTCTGCCAGGATCTCTGTACAAAGGTGATGGGTCACCCAATTTGTAGATCTCCAAATTGTTTTGGCTGCCCAAGGAGAAGTGTTTTAATAGAACTGTCAAAAGAACTTTTCAGTAGTTTTAGAAATCCCTGCAAAGGAGGATCTGCAGTCTTTAGGCAGTTAGAGCCCCCTTGAAAACTCAGAACCTTACAAAACTTTACAACCAGGAGAGAAACAGTCCTTATTCCTTTTGGCTTTCTTGTGTTTGTACTGCTCTTAGGACAACAACCTGCCAGTCCCTGCAGGGGTATTTAGGTGGTGCTGCAAAGGTAGTCCAACTGCAGCCATTCTCGTGGCAACAGCCAGAGCTTGGATGCTTTGACTCTAACGGCACCAGTACCCATTTATGCAAGACAGTAAATACTGTAATATATGTTCAGGTCTCTGTGCTCCCTCAAGCGTAGCCATCCATCTGGGAGGCTTAAAGTACATCACAGAATGAGGGTTCCCCAGTTACGACCAGAGACGATGAGCCCTGTCCATCTTTGCTGGCCGATTACACTTTCACTCAACATGTTAGTAAGAGTGAAAAAATGGAGTGATTTTTCTTTGTGTCTGCTTTGTGGTAAGTCCAGGGCAGGGAAAAAAAGCACTGAAATTAATTTAGCTGTCCAAGATCCTAGATAATAACATGACAGGGACATTCAGGAGAAAGGTTCTTTGTTTCATCTTCATCTGTAGCCCTCAGCATCCTCCAGGGTGTGTCCCTTTTTGACTGATCAGTCGGATCAGTTAAAAAGTGAAACACTCTGAAGTGACCCATCTGCAACTCATACCCTTGGAAACAAAAATCAGTTGTTTTTTAATCAAGAGCCATCTTAGTGTGTTGGCAGTAACTGGCTTGGGTGGCTACTAACTACCAGGTGCCTGGTACCTGGCCTAAACTGACTAATACAGACGTGACTAATACATTCTCTGGCAGGCCCCAAGAATGAATAACATGCCGTACTGTACTCAGACACAAAATCATGTCTACAGCATTGCCAAATAAATCATGAAACAACTGGGAAAATATTTATCTGTAGTCCATTTGGCTACTTGCTTGCTTCATTATCTTGTCAATAGCCTTTCCATCTGAAATGCCATGTCTCAAGGCTTCAGGTTTGCGTGTCAAGGCCCATTTGAAAGGCTGAACATGGAGCTCTATTTGTGCACTGTCACATCTCAAGTCTCCTTTGAAGTGTTACCATTATTTATCATAGAGAACCCTGACAAGGAAAGCTGGACTGGAGTGGATTATTGTCTATACTGTTTGTCGCACTGTGAGTGGGTGTTTCAATAAAGATTTAGTTAAGCAAACATCTGGGCAGAGAATCTGCTCTACAATAAACAGAACTCAGAGCATGAGCAAGAAAGCCAAGTGATGGTTCATTGCTCAGCATAAGGAAATGAACTTGGGAGGGTTCTGAGCATAATTAAATCAATAAACTAAATATTTCACTTGCTTACCAACAACTCAGTACACCATTTGACTAGGTGTCTTTCTGCTCTCTTACATAGCACTATGACTACCAAAGTCAGTAAAACATATTAGTTTGACAGTAGTATACTTCAGAATTATGCCCAGTATCGTTATTTTCAGGTGTTTATCTGTAGTTGGAGGATTGCCGCAAATCAAATTAGCCTTGAATTCTAGCAGATCCCTGTGCCTTTGTACCCTTCCTATGCTATTCTTGGGGGCATGGTATGCTTTTGACTATTGCACTTTTAAAAAAGGTCTCCTTCACACCTCTGGATTATTTACATGAGTATAAGTCAGGAGAGCACTGTGCAGAATCTACCTTCTATTCTGACACAAAGAAGGTGTTGCAGATTGGCAAATAAAATGTTAACTTTGCGTTATTCCACCAGGATAGAAAGAAAATCAACAGGAGATCTGAAGACGCTTGGGAAAAAGCATGAAAGGCTAGCTAGGAAACCCTTCTGATTTGATTATTCTAAAAAAAAAAAAAAAGAAAAAAGATCTTCCATCTGAGTTGGATGCATTGGCCATGTAGCAGTGAGGGCTACTAAAAAATTATCTGTTTCAGAACAAGAGAACCCCTATTAGAAAGGGGAAGCTGAGATAGACAGAAAGTGTCTTAACCATAAGTCTCACCCGCACATCCTAATTCCTCCCAGCCCATAATACTCTTTCCATTTTAGTAATGCAGGCTTTCCATTTAATTGCCGATGTGGTCATTCATAGAGCCTGACACCTGCTTTGTAAAGCATGGATGGGCTCAGCTTTCATACTATCCATCTTTCCCAGTGGGGTTTTACCAAAATTAAAACTCACAAGGTGCAGCATATTGCAGTTTCACCTCTCAGTCTCATTATCGGATACTTTCAGAAAGGCTGTATAGAGCCCTACATCTGTTGTGGGCAGAAAAGGCTTTATGCACTTAAAAGCATTTGGGAAGAGATTTTCAAAAGGTGCAAATTCATGTATCTCAGTTGCATGGGAATCCAAGCAGTCAGTGGAACAGCTAAATAGCTGCATGTCTGCCTTATGTGCAGAAGTCCCATTGAACTGCAACGGGAGTTGAGTATCCGAAGCATTTTGACTGAGCCAAAACCATCACCTAAATGTGAAACTCCTGCAGAATTTCAACCTGCTTGCACACCCTCTCGTAACAGACACCATTTTCATGAAAGATACGCTCATTTTGTTGTCAAAACACAATGTGAGGTAACCATCACACGTAAGAGGAAAGTAGCTGGTGCTGCCCATTAGAAATTTCCCATCCCTGAAGGGTTGGTGGGCTGCAGAGCAGGCCTGCTTCCATTCAGTAGAATCCTGCCAAAAGCTGGGAAGCCCCGACCAGTCACTTCGCTTCTGCCGTGGGAGGGCATGCTTTCAAGCTGAGACACTCTCTGGGGTTTTGCTGAGCGGAAGCTCTGGGCCCCACTCCTGCGAAGAAGTGCACTGTGCCGTGACCCTGAGGGAACGATTTCCAGTGCACAGGGCCAGCCATGCGAGACTCCCTGGAGGACAAAAGCCTCTGACCATAGCAGCTGAGGGCAAGGTCTGTTAGTTTTCCTTCTGTTCATGCAGGGCTTTCTACAGAATAGTCCCCTGAAGAAGCAGGAAATTGTCCTTCAGAAGGTGCCCACGAGAAATGCCCTCTGGTGAGGTCACACCTAATCAAATGAATTGTTGTGTCACTCTTGGACTTTCAGTTTGGGAGAGTTTTTTATTCTTTGGTGGTTTTTTGTTGTGTTGGGTTTTATTTTCATAGCCGGGTAAAACATATGGAAATAATACCATTCCTTTTGAAACCTCCTATTTTGCTAAAAACCAATTTTAATCCAAGTCAAAGTGTCCTGATGGAAGAGGTTGCCAGGACTTCTATGTAGTCTCCTTTCACACAGGTACAGATAGAACAAAAATTTCTGCCTCTGCCCTTGCTTTCAAGCTGGCACTGCACTTGAGTGGAGTTGCAAATGAAGCTCCAGCCAGGGAACAAACCCTGTACCAGTAAGGCAGAAACGTCTCAGCATCCAGTGTGCCCTTTTCTTCCCCCAACAACATAATGGTATATAACCTACTCATATCTCTATATTTCCTACTCATCCTGCTGTTTAAGTGTGTGAAATCAGACTTAATTGCTTTGTTTTTTAAGCCAGTCTCCTCCGGAAACCAGGTCCATACTATAATTTGCAACGAAGCCTTCAGAAATAAAAAGCCAGTTGACTTTCCCCTGGAACTTCAGTTTGTGCCTCTCTTTGCCTTCCTTCTGGCTCAGTTATGGCAGAACCGCTGCTGTCTCTGACAGATCCCAAGCGGGATAGAGATCTCTCTTACATGTGCGCCAGTACATGGTCGTATGCCTCTAATCTGCTTACTCCATAATATAACATCTTAGACCACAGGGAAGTAATTTACCTGCAGGGTGAGACATGTGGAACCCTGACATCCGTTCCCAGAAGTGCGTGGCTAGGCGTCAGCCTAGGTCTCATTTACCTGGCTGTCTGGCAGCACAGTACCACGGTAGTGCAAAACAAAACAGTTGCTCTTGCTGAGATTAGAACCATCTGTTTCCATACCAATATGGGATGCTTTGTTCCATACTTGGGGAAAAGCTCCACCCACCCCTCAGAAGCTCCCCACAAACTTATTGCCCATGTATCCACGATGCCTTTTTACCAGAATACCTTAGCTCATTTTGGTTTTAATTGTCCTGAATCTCTCTGCATGGCAGAGGAAAGGTCCTGCTAATTCCAACGCAGGGAGCAGAGCAGAGCAAAGCTTTTATGCTCTCACATCAGCCTAGGGCTCATGCAAGCACACACCAAGTTCCCTGGTCATTCATACTGCCTCTGCATCAATTTATACTTTAGAGCAAGCCTCTGTCTCGCATGCGGGCACTGAAACATCCATGTGGTCACAGGTGGGTTGAACCAGATGGTGCAGGAAACTTGAGGCCACAGCTGGTCACATTAACAGGAAATATAGGTGCACCAGAGACACCAAATGGAGACTCACAGAGATACTGAGAAGTCTAGCTTCCACTGAAGCCTTTGGGACGTGGCACCTGAACACCTGTACTGACCTGAGCTACCTACATCCACACAGGGGGTCTCCAGCAGAGCAGGCAATTGCACCCAAGCTGCCTGCATCCCAGTCATCAAAATACTCTTCCCATCTACCTTCAAAGTCAAGTCACGTAATTCATTACTGGAATGGTATAGAAAAGAAGCAGGGTTATAACAGTTCCATGTTGGAAAAAGGAACCCTAATCATGTGATGACACAGCAGACAGACAGCAAATGCCAACAGCGAGCATAGACTCTGCCAGGCAGCCACCTACAGAAATTTTCCCTCGGTCCCTTCTGTGTCTTATTAAACATAATGCCAGGCCGCTCTAGCAATCAGCCCAGGAATCAGAGAGAATTCCAGCCACACCGCTGTCTGCTTCATCTGACTGGTGTGAAAAGGACTTCCTGAGGAACAGAGGTCAAATCAAGGCAGTTACTATGTCTCATGCAGGCTTTCAAAACAGCCAGGAAGCATTGCTATAATGGGAGATTCAAGACTTGAGAAGCTCAGAGGGCATGGAGGGACAGGCAGGTATTGGACAGAAGTTGTCTTCTCTAGAAACTGTCAACAGGGAAGGGCTGACATCAAGATACAGGTTTGATCTCTTCTCATGCAGGCTTGTAATTTCTGCTTGCCTTTGAAAACACTGCCCATGTCAAAGAACGGATGCAAAGGAAAAATACCGATTCAGTTACCAATTTTGTTCTGCCTAAAACATCAGGTTATCATTACTTTGTCATTGCAGAAAAAAAGACACCAGATAAACCATTAATGGACTTCTGAGAGGGAAGATTAGATTCAAGATTCGAATTAATCATGTTGCAGCATGCTCCACATCATATACCTACTGATTCTGAAAACAGCACAAGATAGCGGGGCAAACAAGGCGTGTTGCCACAGTGCTCTCGCTTGCTATTTAATGCTTGTCAAACAAATTGAAACATGATTGAATAAGCAGTCAGAACTTCTTGCTGCAGGACATTACGGTCTACGATATAAATTCACAAATATACGCTTGAGCTTCTGAAGTGTTCAAATGAAAAAAGCAAGAGAAATGTGTAACAGAAAAAAAGACTTAGCTGCTAACAAGCTCAGAAAGGCATATGCATAGCAAACCAACCTCTGAACAACCTACAGGCCATTACATAAAGATCAATGTTAGTTCCATATCAGATAAGTCACTGGCAAATGTTTAAGAAATTAGCTTCTGCCATTCATGTATATTGTATTATTCTGGCTTAATGGCACAGCATGGTGAAATGCAAAGGATGGCAACACAGTTACAAAAATGAGCATCATCTACAGATCCATACAGTGAGAATGAAAAACTTGCAAGAAGCAAACACCTACCTGTATTATAATCAGTAAACTATTCGAGCGAAGGTGGGCCAAGAGGAGTGAAATTATCTTGAAAACCAGAAAACTGATTTCCTGTAAAGTCATAACTGTATTGCCCTCAACTGCTTTGTTCCTTATCTTTTTTATTAGTTGAAAAAAAGAACATATCAGAAAAGGCACAGAAATAAGATTTCTCACAGGTTTCACTTTTAAAAAGGAAAATTTTCTGGTATGTAACCACTGTAACCTTTGATATAATACCTGCATCCTGTTATTGTTTTTATGAATCATAGTCTTCCACTTGATTCATAGTGATGAATGCCAACAAAGCAGCAATGCTGCCCTGTGCTAATATCCCTGCTGGAAAATTAGCATCATGCCTTATCATTCGCCTCTCTTGAGCCATGCATCTCTTCAAGAGTATTGTCTCCCATGCTATGCTAATGTTTACTTATTCATTACAATCGTCAGCTTTTATCACAGTTATGAAAAACAAATCAGAGCTCACTTACATTTTTGCCAGTGCATATTCTGAGTCAGGATGGAGTCTTTTTTTCTCTTTGATGAAGATAGCTTGGCTTTTTAATAGCTGATGTGTGTTTGACTCCTTTACGGGGATGTGATAACTGACTGTGAGGATGTTTCTTTCAGCTTTTTAAAAGCCCCATGTTCCCGCTGAACCCTGTGATGTCATCACATCCTCCAACCACAACCACTTCTATATTTTCCCTTGCTATATGTTGTTCTTCATGATGCTAAACAGTTCCTTCAAAAGCAGTGAACTCTGGAAGATATTATGCACAAAAAGGCACTCAATATCACCAAAATGTATTTGAACGAACAATCAAACCTGGAACCTGCCACTCATGCGGCTTTTACCACAGATTTGCAAAATTAGGTCAAAAGTTTGGACAGCAGATAAACAACAAGGGTCTTTTAGTAAGATTTTGGCCTTCTGTGGCACTAAGGATGGTCTTGTTTCACGTAAGACCGCATTCTGCTGCCTCAAATGGCGTAACTATTGGCTCCATACACTCCAC